AAGCTTTCTGCATGAAGGTGACTAAGTGTCAGTTTTTGAGCGGAAACCGGTACACCGTTTTCCAGCAGTATTTCATTTAAAATTCATATGCTGAATTGTTTAACTTCGGTCTCATAAACTATAATCACTGCACGGCGCGTTTCTCCTTGTCGATCGGGATAGACTATAATCCGAATAATTGGGTCTGTCAGTCGTCAGTTTCGATGACCACTTATCCTTTCCGGTCGTGAACTTAGACTCGTCACGCAGTGTCTCCAACTGATTCAGATCCTTTGTCAACTCTTGAGATTCAGCACAAGATAACTCGAGTCTAGAGCAGAGTTCTATATACTTTATTCTTTGCCTCCCTAGGGTCATAGGCTGGCCGGTTAGTCGAGTATGCTATCGTTATATAGCTTGACTTTATAGAACATCGCATAAGGCTCTACGAGATTAATACAGTCAGTAGAAGTTGACAATCGGAAGTCGCATAATTGGGTATGATAAAAAAATTGCAATAAAGGATATTGCTGTCTTAATCTATGCACATTTTTCTATGTACTTCGTTAATCATACTTTAAGACTGGGTCAAAAAATATCACTGTTGATGTATTGCAACAAGTTATTTTCAGACTAGAGAGTAAGTTTGTTACTTTTAAACGCAGCATTTTAATCACCATTAAATTTTATATAAAGTACATAATGTAATTCATTTACTACAAGAGAAAAAAGCTAATAGGAAAAAAGATTTTCAGTCGTCAGATTTACCTATGCCTCCATGAATCAGGTAATTTATGGACCATAAAATATTTTTTGAAGAAAACTTACTACTAAATGGTCACTGTGTCGTTTATTTTTCTACTTCCATTCACGAAGACTGTACCTGCCTGTCTATCTCTTAAACTGAATGGCTGTTGACCAGATCAGAATTTCATTTCTTGACCTTACCACCCTTGAAAGACAGCTCTTTTACTGGCAGAATAATGAAACTCAGCAGCTAAACCCACAACTATAAATGATCAGCAACTGTTCTTCTTCTGCATGTTATGCATTTGCTGAATAAGACAGTCAAACTGTATTGTTACAATGACAATGCAGTGCTAAGTCATTAGAAAACCTATGCATGTGATTGCCCTTCACAGTTTCCGTCGCTTTCTTCTGTGACATTGATAAAAACCTCATAATTTTAGTATTGACTGGTGGGTCGCGTCACACTTAATTCATTATTGATGTTTTAACTTAATTTTTAATAGGTTTAGATTTGACCAGAAAATTTGATCGATACTATTATATTCTGTCATTTATACATCAGAAATTATTTATACGCCGAGTAAGCTAAATAATGCATGACTTTTATAACCATAGATTTCCTGGCTTGTTGCATCACCCCAATGTGTATGGACGGGACAGTTTTCCCGGCCTATGGTATATAAACACCTACAGTGCCAAGTCTGTCCTTCATCATTTTGTCTAATAGAGCCCTCTGGCATTCATTATGAACCGATACTCTTTAATGCTACTGCATATTTAACTTCCTGAAACATCGCTCATGATGACCGTGAGGTTGCTCTAGCGTACGGAATAATGCAAGAAGCATGTGGCACAGCAGATACTAACTCAAATAGCATGAAACCGTGGCCTGCTTAAATGTCACCCCGTCCCCATGCAACTGCGAGCAATGACGCATCACTGCTGCGAGAAATCTGGTCTTTGAGGACTTCTGTTAATATACGTAGCATCGATATTGTATATGAGTTAAGTGGCATTTAGGGAAGGTACAGATATATCATTGTTTCTATCTTGTTCTTGAAATTCTTTTCTTTCGTGACCACCACGGTGATCATTACTGCCATCATTCGCTCGATCAGATGGTTTCTTATTGTATATGACACATTCATTCTGTTGCTGATTCATTGATCGATATGGCTTTTAGAAAACACTCGTATTAATTTTTTTTATTCTTTCTAGATCATTATTTATGACCCTAAATATAAAGACGAAAAAAATGAAAATGGCGCTGATGGAATAATCGTGACAAAAAATTTCGAAACTTTATTAGAAGCGTCGGATTACATCACGATACACGCTCCGCTGTTACCTTCGACAAAAAGTAATGCACATTTAACTTTTTTGTGATCAACCTTTTGGCGAATTACCTAGTGAATTCCAATACAGTAAAATTAGTCATAAGAGAAGGAATAGAAAATTTTTTAAGCCGCCCTCTGATTCGATCCTTGCATGTCTAGATTACAAAGCAAGCTATTTTTCCGCTGCATTTTCTATCCCTTTCGTGTTCAAGGAATTACAAACAATCAATTTTAGATATGATTAACAAAGACAGCCTGGAAAAATGCAAGCAAGGTGTTAAAATTGTCGACTGTTCCAGAGGTGGAATAATAAACGGTGCCGATCTCCTTGACGCACTGGATTCCGGCAGAGTTGGTGGTGCCGCCCTTGACGTATTTGAAAAGGTATGTGTAGATTAATATTATAATGCAACGATCATAATTTAAAATATTTAGGAACCGCCAGAAAATCTGGCACTAATCAATCGCCAGAACGTTATCTGTACTCCACACATTGCAGGAAATACTGATGAAGCTCAGAAAAAAATCGCTGAGGACATTGCGAGTAAAATAATTGCAATGAACGACTGAGCGAGAAACTATAAAATTGTTTTTACTGCACTCACAAAACTGATTTGTATTTTAAGCCCGTTTTGTTTTTGTTCGTCGACGTATATGGCAAACTTTTGCTAAACTGAGACCTTTTTTCTGTACAATATTTTTTCTATCACTCTTGTAATCATTTTTCTCCCATAATATGTCAATTTACCATATCCTTGAAGGGGGAGGGAAATAATTATAAAATGATATAACAGAAAACTGTATTCGTGATCTTTTATTGATCGAAAATATTGACAGTTGAAGGGAGTCGAGTCTGAGACGAGTCTCTGGCCTTAACGCGTCTCGACAATGTCCAGAATACTGATATCCGGGATAGCCTTTTAGTACAGCCTCTGCTTCTCCGAATTGAAAAGTCACATCTGCGATGATTGGAGCCTGTGTTGCGAATGCCTTCAGAAAGGAAGACTAAGCAACTGTTTCTTGCCCAACCAACCGGCAGAAGGCCCAGATTAACCTGGTGCGAATATATGGAAGGAGTCTACTCCAAACTTCAGTTGTATTCTGTCGAAGCTGAGTCTCTTGCTTAGGATCGGGAACGTTTGGCGACTATCTGACGCGTCTGCCTATACGACCCACTAAGAAAGGTGGTCGTGGAACATAAAGATGATAAAATAAATGAACGTATATTTTATAGTTCTCTAACAAGATAAGACAAAACAGTATTTTGGCTGTTCATTGGATCTAACTGATATATAGGCTGACAAAAGGTATACTTCAACGCGAATAGGATGGGGTGAAAAGGCCATTGCTGTTAGTTGGAGTGTCGTTTTACGTTTTATATATGCACATCGGAGCTTTCAGTTACCTTCATCGTGTCAGAAGAAGATAGGAAAGTTTGTAACCATTGAAATGTCATTCTTACACCTTCATAATGAGAGAATTTCTGGCATCCTTCTTATCATAAATCAAATGGGAAGTAAGCCTTGATCTCTATTTCGCGTTTAAAAGGTAAAGTCTATGGTAGATACATTGCAAGTACATTTTGTATTCTGTTTCTTACCCAGAGAGTGGTAGTTACCTATCAGTCCTCGAAGGAAGAAAGGTGCATGAACCTGACCAGCACTCCCATTCAGGACGTCTTAGAGTCTGACGTTCTATCAGTTAAGTAATCCCGGTCCCGGCATCTTTCTCCATAACCTATTCGATGAGATTTGCGTAATTTGTTTGAAAATGAGCCTTCTGTTGATCGCCATGTGCATGTTACAACGTTGCACATGAGTTCTAGTTTTTGCGTTGTGCCAAAGATGCAAAATTTCTACGAGTATGCGAAGTACGGGTAACCTGTTTCATTCTGATGTTGCAAACCTCAGTCGAAAACATATGGAGTACTGCAGTAATGGGAGAAGATAGTCACCAACTGAGCAACATCAGATTCTTTTAATTTGATGTTCAGATTGTATTGCACTGCGAGACGTTTCAGATGGACATTAGCAGCAGTTTCGCAGCTGCCAGGGCTAACATCGATCAAGACCCGGAGTTGCTGTTCGATCCCTTGAAAAAGGGCATTGTCGCGCGACAATCAAAGCCGTCTCCTTCAGCGAAATGATGAGTAAGCAGTTGTGGGTCACGACCGAAACCCTGAATATTCGCAAGAAAAGATACACAGCGACGAGACGTCGTTATATGACCCTGATGCGGTAAAACTGTGTTTCGTCTTTCGTTAATTTCGGTCCACCGCAGGAACAAGCAACGGTTTTCTGGATTAACAAGCACAGAAGCAGGAAAACACGGCAGCGAAAGGAGACTAGAAGATGCCATACTGCCAGGGGAATACCATTGTCAAAGATGGCCAAGCCAACAAAAGCCTTTCACCGTCCTATTAAACAGCAAATCAGACGAGCCACTACGTGACGTTTAAGACCGCGTGAACCGATGGATTGAGCATTTTTTAGAGCTCTTGTACAGGTTTGGACCTACTGTTAACTTCGAAGTCGATGAAGACAACTAACAACGTCTGGACGTTGACTGCTCCTCAGGACGAGCTGAAAAAATCCGAAACTCCATTCATGACGGAATTGATGCGGAGTGAAATGCTGAGGCCAAAACCTTTTTAATTGGATTTATCTGATTGTCAGCAGTATTATACAGAATCCAGTAATGCCAAACAAGGGGAAGAACGCTGTGATAATTCTGATTTTTAAAATTGACGGTGGCACATGTTGCACAAACTATCGAGCGATAACTCTACTGCTTGTTTCAGAGGAGATTCGCATTCAGCCCTCCAAGCCTAAGCCGTAGCCCTCCACCGAGTCCAAACAGTTTTAAAGTGGTGGAAATACAACATCAGGTTTAACATTGATCTCCAAATGAATTTTCTCAGATCGTTTAGCATTGGCTACATTGTTTGACTAGTTACTTTATTGGTTCATCCGCATTATTACGTGTTAGTACATGCCGTCACGGCTGTGGGATGGGTTGACGATATCGGAAAGAAATTTAACACTATACCGTACTAATGCCAATTAAATTGACGGAGGACTACTGCTTCAGGGTAGAAGGACGCATCTTCACGTTTCGTTGACTGTTATGCACTGTTGGAAAGCGATGCAGGAAGTACTGTAAGAGAGAGCTTAACAAGCTGCTGAAATGCATGTACTTTACAGTTATCCGGGACGAAAGTGAAGCGGTTTTCGAAAATGTGGAAGAGCGAAATTAATTCATATAATACATCAATGTAACAAGGTGGTATATACCAAAGATATGGAGAGGAAGGGGTGATGTCACTGTCAGCATTGACGCAGAACAAAGTTGTTTCACTTTGCGCTGTTAAAGTGTAGATTTGAACTGAACGCCTCCCAACATTTTGCTAGTCAGAAATTGGCTTGAGCAAGGAATTGAGCAAAACTGCTTCGTTCTGCCATGCGATGAAGAAGTGGCAAGAGGGTGAATTGCAATCAGGATGAATATGGTGTTATAATATTGTTATTTCAAAGTTTCCAATGCATAGTTCACTTTGACCTCTGCTCGACAGCTGATTAAATCCGGCATATTTATGTTCCATTAACCAATAAAGATGTGAAAAACATATGAACAGTTCCCTGCTCATTGTGACTGGCAATTTCAGTGAGCGCAGACTTGTGCCAATTATATTCCTGAGTCTGTGTAACATTGTTGATATCCCAACGCACTTGACAGCTTATTTTGATGATGTGTTTACGAACCTAACTGCCGCGTTCGGTGTCAAACAGCGCGCGCCTCTTGCAGCCTCCAGCTTTTACATAATCAACCTTACTCCGAAGACCGATAGTAAACTGGGCGATCGCAGCTCACCTGAAAACTCCACCATAATATGCGCTTGTTCGGCCAGTCTAATCCTGACAGATGCGGAATGTTTTTATCCCTGCTCATTGATCTATTGCTGAGGGTGCTTCTCTGAATGAATAGTTAGAC